ACACAAAAAGCCTTGCTAAAATGGAGGTAGAGAGCGTAAACTGTTTAAAGTATTTTAATAAAAAGAAAAATATTTTTTAAGATATGAAAAATTTTGATTGATTAGGTTTTCTTATTCAAGGGGGTTATAAAATCAAATTTTTTTTTTTTAATGGTCAAGACTAATCAAAACAGTTTATACATATTTTGATTAATTTTTTTTTTTGATTTAATCAAAAATATATTATTTATGTTAAAATTAAGATATTGATAATAGATAAATCTGTCATGATAATTTAACATTAAAAAATTATCAAAATTCAAAATAATCGAATTTACGACTCATATTTAGTCTTATTTCAACTATTTTTTTAATTAAAATCAAATAAAGTTTGTGGTACGAAAAGAAGGAGTTGCTTATTCACTGCTAAGCTTTTAATTTTGATAATCATCACAACCTTTCAGATGTGACAATGCATGGTCAATCCGTCAGTTCATTACCCTATCTCTTTCTCTCTCTCTCCTCATGTACATATTCTGGCTGAATCTGGCAGCCACCTACGTAAGACAGAGATGAGTGTATGAATTACAGCTTGTAGACTACTGCGTGCATGGGCGTATCCTACCCAATCGAAGACATACGTACTGATAACACTTTTATTTTTCAAATCTTATGTTAGGTTTTACGCTCAAAGATTCGTTTGGTAAGTGTATTATAAGAGAATTAAATATTAAATTATATTATTTTTTATTTAATTAGACCTAATATTTTATTTGATAAGTAATTTTGAGTTTGTATTAATTTTAAAAATATAAATTAATCATATATTTTTTATACACTATATTTATATTATGAAAATATTTTAATATAATCAAAAAAAATAATGTTATAATCTACCTAAATATATTATTTTATAAGATTACTATTATAACTGCTATACGTAACAAAATATCTTTAACGTAAATTATACTTTGTCAGACAGATGTTTCTCGCTCCATTGTTCTTCAATGGCTGCTATCAACCGGAGGTCTTGGCCAGGTAAGATGTCTTCTTCTTTAGCCTTTCGATTTATGTATGCATGTTTCCTTTTCGCTTTGTGGTTTCTTGTTGGAGGCGGCTACGCGGTGGTGGTGATGAGGTGGGGGTGGTGGTTCAGTGATGTATTGATTTCTAAATTTTATTGGTTTTGTTGGGGTGGCTTGTAGCAGTTATGGTTTGGTTTAGAGGCAGTGAGGTTGGGTGTTCTCATCGTTATGGTTGAAAGAGGGATGGTTCACCAATTTTTATTGCTGGGCAATTATTTGTGGTGTGGCATTGGTGTGAATTGTGGAATACGGTGAAAAAACTCTTGAGAAAGCTTGGAACCAACTTCTTTTTTTTTTTCCCCTTTGTTCAGACTTTTTGTTTTAGTTTTCTTTTTCCAACTTTTGTGGTTATTTGATGCTCATGTTGCAATTTAATTGACCAATTAGCTGTTAAAATTAACATTGTTGTTGTTGTCATAAATCACCCTTTGGTTTTTGATGCTTGAATTTTTTTATGGAGCGAAGGATGGATAGTTTTTTTTGCTCTGTTTTACGATGTTTTGCTGCGGGCTATCCAGGCCTGCCTATCTGTTCGGTGTTGGGTGGGTGATGTTTTGCTGCTGTTGGTTGTTCTGGATGCTTTCATGGATGGCTCCTGCTGCTTATGTTCGGTGTTGCTTTGGCTGCTATGTCTTAATGGTGGCTGTGTAGTATAGTATTCTTTATGGTGGCTAGGGGTATAGTAGTCTTTATGGTGGCCGGGGGAAACCAAGTTCTTTCCCCATTGGACCATTAGTTGAACCCTCATTATCTTTTGTTTTTTTGTGTGATGCATGTTCATTGTTCATTCCTCTTCAACTTGCATGTCAACCTAATGATGTTGGATGATTTTCCTTTTTTACACTTTCTTACTTTATGTTTCAGTAGCAGTGGATATTGATATGATGGCTGCTGATATGGTCGATTCTGATTTGGATGATGCTAGACATATTGAGTTCTTTGTTGTGATTCATGCATTTGATAACAATGTCTCATGGTTCATTTATTTAACAAATTAGAACGTGCTAGATCTTCTATAAATTGGTTAAAATACCCTTGTATAGGACGTAGGGTTGCAGCCCAGATTAAAAACCTTACTAAATTAATAGGAGATGGTGATTTACCATGTTTTCAACAACTTAGAATGGATAGACATACATTCAAGATTCTTTGTGATCTTCTTCGTAACAGCGGATGACTTAATGACTCTAAATTTGTGAGTGTGGAGGAAATGGAGATCGAGGTGGACAGTGATCAAGTTTGGGAGGAGTTTGTTAAGATAATAATTAATTTGAGTAATTCTTTTTTTATCTTTCTCAATTTATTATATAATTCTATAATATCATTCATTTCTTAAATTAATTGTGTACAAAAATTTGACATTTTATTATATTCATTTAAACTTCAATAATTAATCTAAACTATTGATTTTCTTGCTTAAAATTATTATTTGATCCTCTATACAAATTTTATTTACTCTTGAATAAGGCTATAAAGTCAATGATAATGGTGTAAGGATATTGGCAAATATACTTCTACAAGTGGGATATAAAGGGTCAAATTGCTAGTAAGAGTTGTATGCTTAAATATTCACGAATCTTGAATCCCTATCATTTGTTGGTGAAGGTGTCGGTATGTATTCCTCTTGCAACTTTAAACACTAATCTGTTCCGTGTGCATAATCTCTCCCACTCATTTCTAATTTTAAAGGTAATCTTTCTTTCTCATTTTACTTTGTATTTTGTTATTTAATATAGTTGTTGTTCTATATCTTACTAAACATTTTTTCTGAGTTTGTAATGACAGTCATTTTTATAACCTAGAGCCATTGGCACCATAGAAGAAGACCATTTGGCGCAGACAAATGATCCTACAAATTTTTGTACTTAACTACTCCTTTACAACTATATATTTCATAAATTTTGTGTTTTTTCTAATACTGTGAACAAGAATAGGAAAAAAATAAATTTCTTGAAGTATTAGTGGCAAAAACGAAATGGAGACCAATATATTTACACAAATTTAGAAATTATAAATTGGGTACTAAAATAGAAGTTGGAAAAAAAATAACAAATACTCTTAATGATTGAAATAAATAACATGAAACAAACAATAACTAAGTAGAACTAGTGGGAAATACTACTATTATTTTTTATTGGTATTAAGGTCAAGACTATTCGGACTAACTTATGTGTACATCTACTAATTTCTTCCCTGATTTAGTCAAAGGCGTTTATGTCAAGATTAAAAAATTCATGAGGGATAAATCTCTTAAACCCAAAAAAATAATAAAGTTTTAAAATCAAAATTTCTGAATTTACCGCTCATATTTATCTTAACGGATTCCCCTTGGGATTATTGTAATTGGGCTTCTTACTTGGTTGCGTAGCTGCAATCTCCATTGCTTCCAACAGCCAAATTTTTAGCTTTTCAACTTGTTCCTTCTTTACATAATAGAGTTTCGGCATATAAGTACAATTGATTCATTGAAAGGATCAATATAGATAAAGAAATTACAAGAGTATTTTTCAGATAAAATATACGCTATAGAGAGAATTTAAGGGTTTTTTTTTTTTTGTGAAGAGAAATAAAAGAATTAGAATAATATTTTATAGATTTTTCAGATGACATTTTCATAAATAAGTTTAGAAATTAAAAAAAATTGAGTTACCCTTAAAATTCTCAGAGCATCTCCGACTCACTGGTTAGATCCCAATTTTTAGCTATTTTGGCAAAGGGTGGCTCCAAAAATCTGTTACAATTTTTAGTATTCTTCCTCTCTTAAATTTAGGAGGAGGCTCTTCTTGCTCGCCAAATCTAGAAAAGGAGAAGAAGCTCCAACAGTTGCCATGTATCATCTCCCTCTTCCACACCCCCACTCCTTTGTGTTGCTACCGAATACCTCCCTCCCTCCATCACCTGTGAATCCCCCCCCCCCCCCCCCCCCACCCCCATTCTGAAACCCCAACTCCGCCTCCCCTTCCCCATGCCGAAACCCACCTCCCCCTCTCCCCCTCCCCCAATTCCGATTGATATTAATTTTTTATTAAATTGCTATTAATTTTTAGTTGAATGGAGTGGTTAAATTGCTATTAATTTTTTGTTAAATTTATACAATGTATGGTTAACGTGTTATTCAACGTGACATTTTTGAATTATATTATTAAAAGTTAATTGAAGTAGTTAGTTAAAATTATAGTGGACTTATAAAAGTGATTAACTAAAATAAAAAAATACAATAAGAAAATTTAAAGATTGGTCACTCTTTGTGGACTTATTTTGTGATAAATTTATCAAGAAAATTTGTTTAATATTAAATTCATTTTTATCTCTATTATCCAAAATACCCTTAGTAGTTATGTATGATTAAAACAAATTTAAAAACATCACATTACCCAATTTTATTACATGTGTTAATTATTTAATATTTAATTAATTTATAGTTTAACACAATTTTTATTTCATTATTTGTACATGCATGATAGTACACATATGTTAAAAAAAATTTGTCTAATTATACATTTTGAGAAAATTGATGTAATTTTTAAGAAAATAATAGGTAAAAATTAATTTTAAATAATATAATCAAATAAATAAAGAAATAAAAATTTATTATTTATTATAATAGAATTAATTTTTTGAACGTTCGAATTTTAAATTTTATCGTACATTTGGGATATGACTAATTTATATAATAAAATAGTTAGATTATTTAATTTGAACTTTTCACGATTCAGATTATTTAAAAAAATTATTAATCTGTCGGTCCTAATGCAAAATTCTCCTCTCTCTTCCAATTTTTTAAATAGAACTTTAAGCGATAAACTATAATTCTCCCAAAATATTAAAGAATCTAATACTTGCCCTGCCTAAAGATTCAAAGCTTAAAGAGTCTCTTAACGAAAACTTGAACCTTTGAGTTGAGTGTGTGTGAGACAAGAGGATAAAGAAACAGTCATGACCGTCCTCACCTCTTCATCACCTCTACCCATCTCTCTCAATCGTTCCACAGCCACACCCACTCCACTCAACTGCAAATCACAACCCACCATCATTTCCGTTACTTACCAAAGTCATCGTCTTCGAAGTCATCTCCGTCCGATCACCGTTGCTTCTCAGCTCTGCGCCAATGAAACCATAAAAATGGATAAGTCAACGTTGAGTGTTGCAGAAGCGACGTCTGAGGATGAGCTCCGGGCTGCTGCGTGTCTACGTGTTCGAACTTTCTATGACTTCCGGGAAAGTTTCGGTATCGAAGTGAGTTGATTTTTGCTGTTAAGTTCTATCCTCCATTCATGTGCAATTCTATTCGTTGATGTGAATTAATTGTATTTGGAGCCTCTCAATCTTCAATTTTTTTTGGGCATGGTTAATTATTAATTTTGGGACTCTGTTTTTTCGTTTTTTGGGTGAGAACGCACTAATTAATTACTTTTGGGCATCTTCAATTATCAATTAGAACATGATCCAGCTATATGCAATTCACTTCATTGGTGTGAATTAATTATATTTGGAACCTCTCTATCTTCAAATTTTGTCAATTGTTTTAGGCATTTTCAATTATCAATATTGGGTCTCTGTTATATGCAATTCAGTTCAGTTTTGTAAATTAATTGTATTTGGAGCCTCTCAAACTTCAGATTTTGCCAATTTTGTTGTCATCTTCAATTAGCAATTTTGGTTCTCTTTATTTTTTTGGGTGAAAATAAAGTTTCACTAAGACCATATCCTATGGAAACCCAATCCTTTAACCAAGTTTGAGGGAAAAAAGGGGCAAAATGCATGATTTGGTACAAACATCTCCGATGGAAAAATCCAAATTTAAATGAGGATAAATTCAAATTTAAAATAAGATAAAATATGACCATTGGATCTTTAGAGGAGTATGAAATCTCACCATTAAAGATTTGAGTCTAGCATTGGTGAAAGTTTTTAGGAAGCTTTTACCCAAATTTAAAATTTGGGTTTAAGGATTGGAGATGCTTAACTACTATAACAGCAAGTGCGGATCTAAAACCCATTAAAGACGCTACGAATTGTATAACAAACCAATCTGGCATAAGATCAATGAGCATAACTCCTAAATCTAGATTGCGTTCTTGATTTGCTAAGAAGTCATTAGATGCTGCTGCTGATTTGGTTCCCTGGATATTAGATCATCAGATCAGTGGCTGCTTTGGCATTCATTTCAAAAAGTAGATTTTTTTCAGTTCAGAGTGGCTAGCATCCAAAGATCCCTAAATGCCCATACATCTGCAATTAGACCATGGTCCATCGATTTTCCTTGAAAACCCGACAACCCATCTGCCCAGATGATTCCTTACGATACCTCAGCCCCTGCTAGCCCTGGGTCTTCCAGAGCAGCGGCCCATGTATTGGGCAAAGGGGAACCATCCTACTAGGATTGATTTTTATTTTACCTTGGAACTTGGGTAATTCACTATGGGAATTCACTATGTGGTATACAGTTGCTCAAAGTGAGCTAGGATCATCTCTTATATCAGTCCTCCCTCATAGCAACACTCTCATGTTGTCTTTTGGGCCATATATTCTATTTCATTTTCTTCTGGGACAGGTGGATATATGAAAAATATATGCCTACCTGTCTTCCTCCAATCCAGAATTCATCCTCCATTTGAAGGAGGATGATTGTGCAATGGTTAGTCTGGCCAGCATCTGTTTCTTTCCCATGCAAATGTTGCCGAACTCAGTTTTGTTTCCCTCCTTGATGGCTTTGGCAAACTCTCAAATACATTTTGAGGGTGCTATATGGGACATTGGGTGTTCTTGAAACCTGTTAAAACCCATGCAGAAGCCCAATAAGTTTAAATGTAGATGACTAAACTTGACGAAAGCTGACAAAACTTGAACTTGTGTTGGGCACGACCTATAAGTACGGATACGGATACGAATACGATACAGATACGGCGATACGACAAAACGTAAAAAAAAAATAAAAAAAATACAGGTATGGTTAGGATACGCCTACAAAATATATTTTTTTAAAATTTTATTATTATATTTAATGTAACAATTATGATTTATAAAACAAATTACATATCTATCAAAGATATATAATAATAACTAGTCATTCTATCATTCAGAAATCATACATTCAAAAAAAAAAATTTTGGCAAATAAGGGCCCAAACATATTTGCTATGGTGCCCCTATTCTTTTTAAAAAATTCAAGTAATATCCCGCTATATCCCCGACGTGTCCCTTGCATATCCCAACGTATCTTGAAGTATCTGAAATTCAAATTTATTTTTTTTAATTCTAGGATACTTCTTAGCCGTATCGAATACGTATTCAGTCGTTTCGGATGCGTATCCGCATCCAGCTTTGACCCTTTTGAAGTATTCGTGCTTCATTGGGGCACGACAGACTTAGACATAACTCTTGACATTGTTTAAATGAGGTTACTGCACTCAGATTTGGACTTGCAATGTTGCTGTCCTAAGTCTTAACTGTTTACTTTTACATCGGCATCCATCAAACTTTACAATTGACCTTTTCCTCGCATTACCGTTCTTACTTTGTCTCATGTTTGATTGATTAGCCACTTCGATTTGAACAATCTTGACTATGAGTAGTATGATAATGACACATGAATACAAGTTTATGATCTTCTTACATTTACAGATGCACCCTTGGCTTCGTTAAATCTAATGATATAATACTCCTTGTCAAGTTTTGTTAGGATCATAAAAGGTACTTGGCCGAGCGTGAGTTTGAAGCACTAAAGGAACGTGTTGCAGGGATGAGAGTGGGCTTTAGGAGAGTTTGTTGCATCAATGCTACATTGCCATTGTCACAAATTTCGAGCATTTCTGATGATTTATGCACTACATGCAAGGTATGTTTTTTAATGGCTGATTGGGTTAGCACTTTCAGTTCCCTGAGTGTATCTATTGGAATTTTGTGGACTTTGTGCACCACTGATTAGTGGCTTAGTGCCAAGATGATGCCATGCCTAACGGAGACTGAATCTGAGTCCAGTTGAAGTAAAACTAGTTTAAAAAAGTCCCTGAAGAAGATATTGACTGATTTGACTTGGATATTCTGAGGTTGATTGTGAAGCATATATTAAATAAAAGCTAGTATTATATGGTTTGGGTTAAATTCCCTTCTTGATTATGGACCATATTGGTCCATCTTGTTGCTTGTGATTTGCTGCAGTATCAAATCTGAAGTGTGGTTGTAGTCGAGGAATAATGTGGAGAAAATTATGAACAAACCTGGGGACGGAGATAGCAACAAATTCTGGAAGGAGAATTGCATGATATTGTGATGAACTATTCAAATGAATACATATATGAAATAATATGGGCATATCTCACCAGGAAAAAAAAGAGGGAATAATTGGGAATTATTTTTCACATTTGAATATTTGTGTAGAGGTTTTTGCAAAGAATTTGAAAGAATGCAAGCAATACATAACTTCGATGAAAACAATGTATTTCGCAAAATTTCGTAAGTTGCGCAGGATACTCATTATGAGTTTATCAACACATAGCTTTTGGATTTGGCTACAATGGCCTCATACAGACTAATCTAGCTATCTGCAAAATGCACAATCCTGAACTGTGAACATGTTAGTTCTTTTGTTGGCTGTCATAAGCATCCTGTAACCTATCATGTGACATGAATGTGTAAAACACATTCCAGGGCTTCTTAGTGTCGAAGTTGCCTTCACCACTACCATCCTTCTGTTCTATTCAGAAATTGATTTACAAATGGAATTATAGAAATCATTCCATTAAAATGATATGGCTGTGGCATTGTGATGTATATAGACATTTGTGGTCTGTTATAAACTGATAGGAAACTAGTGCACACAGTCATAGTATGTGTGAATTTGTATTAAGAAGTACTTAACTTCATTTTCGTTGTTCTTTTAGTATTTTATGGCTGTTAACTAGCGGAGACCAATATTAACTTTAAATGAAATAGTAAAGAAAGATATGATACTCTTATGGTTTAACCAATGATCAAAATTTCGTTTCGGTGTATTGTTTCGGTCATCTAGGAAACGGAAACATTTTGATGTGTTTCGGAAACGTTTCAACCTGTTTCGAAAATAGAATGAATAAAATAAAAAATTTAAAGAATTATTTTTTCAAAACATTGGTTGAAATATATCAAAATGTCTTAAAATACTTTGAAATATTCCGAAATAATTATGCAACTACATTAAAATATAACAACATTTTGAAACATTATGGAATATCTCGAAGTATTAGAATTTCGATTCTATCATTGATTCGTTTCGGTTTCTTTGGAAATGGAAACGTTTCGGGCAGATCGACTATTTCGAAACGATTTTTTGATCCTTGGGTTTAACATGTTGGGAAAGAGCTGAGTTGAGTTTTAGTATTTATGAAAGAAAACATCTTGGACTTCTCGATACTTTGCATGGGATCATTGTATGCATATGTTAATGTAATTGAATGTCATGTTTTGTTTGAAAAGCCAAATTTGCAAGACTTCACACCTAAAGTATTCCAGTTTTTCTGAGCTGCTGCCTGAAAGTGATCGGATAATATTTCATGGAGCATCTAATGCCATGCTTATACTTCTAGTTTTTGGTTTCCTTCACTGGACGAGCCGTAGAACAGTCGATGCTCAATTATCTTGATGAATTATTCTACCTCAAGTTTCAAGTTTGAAATTTATACATTTTCTGTGAACCAACAAACCAACCTCCATCTCTAGTATTGCCCTCAGTTTCTGATTTGGTTACCATGCACGGAATATATCCCAGTAGCATTCTGATGTGTAGATTTGCATTCGGTTATGCGTCCATTCATAGAAGCATGTGTTTGTAATTTATCCATCAATCTATGGTGCAATAATAGGATTTTATTTCCCTGTTGTATCTGTTGCAGTTTTCAGATGATGGAGAAGACCATGTAGTCATTGGGACCCTGGATCTTAATCAGTGTCTTAGGCTTCCAGATGAAATAACAGGCATGAAGCCAAAGGTATTGATGGACAACTTTTATTGATTTTGTATAGGCTGACTTTCTTATGGTAACATTGAAAAGGTAAAAAGTAAATGTAAAATTTGTAGTAAATTGACAAGAATGTTACAAGGTCCATCTTAAACTCAAGTGCAGATAATGGCTTTTCGTTTTCTTCTCAAATACGCGCTTGTGCCTTGGCTAATGATCTGATCTGTTTGATGTTCCCAATGTTATGTGCTCTGAATTTTGGGGCACGGAAGCATGGTTTCAAAATGTTGTTCTTGATTCCAGTTGAGTGGATGGTGATGCAATATGGGAGACTTCTCACTTCCCCCACCCACCCAAAAAAAAAAAAATCCATACCCTCCAACCCAGTGGACAGGTTTAACCATTCCCAATCCATGGACCCCCAGCTCAAACAAAGGCAAATTTAGTCCAAGGTTCTACCACCAAGAAATTTTATAGAAAAAAGGTTATTTGACAACTTCTGTATTGTCTTTTTCTGTTAATTTCTTGATAACTTAAGCATGGTCCATAATGACTCCATCCCTCCCTTAGAGACACTGCTTCTGGTCTTATTCAACAACTTGCTGGTTAGTAGAGCAATTTTTTGGGTACTCACACCTTCGGGAAATTCACTTTTTATACTCCAGGAGTTGAAATCAGATGTCAGTAGAGAAACGTAGGTTGCCTGGAG